TTTTTACTTTTAACTTTTGTTTTTTTTTTTTTTTTTGAGACAGGTTCTCTGCATATCTTTGTCCTGGAACTCCCTCTGTAAACCAGGCTATCTTTGAATTCACAGAGATCTGTCTGTCTCTGCCTCCCAGGCTACTCTCTTTTTTTTTTAACTCTGAGAACTTTAACCTTTAGCCTGTATATATTTTTAACACACTGTAAACCATTTAGAGGTTTTCTTACTCTTTGAATCTCTCTTTACTGTATATCTCTTTTTCTGACCACATGGGTCTTTAATGTGCTAAGGAATATGGAGAGGTTTTTGCCACAACTCTATGGTGTTTTTAAGGTCCTTGCCAGGAAGCAAGCTGCAACAGTGTATCCATTGGGATTGCCTGCTTGAAAGAGTCGGAGTTTTCCCTGGCAGGAAGGCCCAGAAAGCCGGCAATTTTAAACAGCAGCTTTTTTCCTGCTACAGCTGAAAACCCGAAATGCTTTACTCTAGTCTTTACCAAGCTTTTTCAGGCTTTCTGTGGATGCAGTTATCTACATGGGCGCCAATCTATAACATGGAGTGGGGGGCCTGTTTGTTGTTGTTTCTGTCCCGCCTGGCCCCCTGGCTGTTTAGTCTCAAATAAAATCACACATAGGTCTCCATAAATTATAAATTATAAGCTGATTGGCCCATTAGCTCTAGCTTCTCACTGGCTAACTTTCATATCTTGATTAACCCATTTTTCTGATCTATGTTAGCCAGTCTAAGGTGCCTCTTCATGACTGTGAGGACTTGCTGGACATTTTTTCAGACCAGTCACCCAGACTTCATGGACACTCTCCTGCCTGAGGCAGAGGCTGATTTGCTTACCTATGGAAGCAGAGTGGCCATCAACTGGGGCAGTAATAACTACCCAATGGGCCACCATATGGACACAAGCCTTGCCACAGGGCACATCAGTCTAATGACGCAGTTGATTGTTCTCACTCAAACCCTATACTGGGTAAAGGACAAATGAATAAACATTTATACAGAGAGCAAGTATACCTTTGCAGTCATCCATGTCCATGGCATTATTTATAAAGCAAAAGAGCTATTAATTGCTGAAGAAAAAAACTGTTCAAAATAAAGAGGAAATTCTCTCCTTAAAGTGGTCTGGCTCCCCAAGGAGGTAGTTATGATCCATGAAGGGGCACCAGGAAGTAAATATACTTGAAGCTAAAGGAAATTGGAGGACAGACCAGGTGGCCTGACAAACAGTAGAGATGCCTGAGGAGCCCCTTTCTGTCTTTCCTGTTGCCTTTCCTGATCCACAGGCCCACATCCCAACTCACCTACTCCAAGGAACAAGAGGGCAAGGCCCACTCTCAAAATATGAAACAAGATTTCAACTGAATGGTATATCTTGCCAGACTTGAAAACTATCCTCCCTGAAACTCTCAGACAGTTTTTGGTGCATCAATTACACCAGACCACCCATCTGGACATCACTACACCGAGTTATTTTCTTTCAGGTATCAGATTCTGACTTTCTGAGAGATGGCCATACAAGCTGCCTCTCAATGTCTCATGCACACAGTCTAAGACAAGATAGGTCATGGGCCTAGGGGAAAATCAAATAATATTGTTTTGCTAAAGGATCAAAGCAATAAATGGTTCCTAATGACATTCTTCTATAACCATAGTTCAACATCTCACGCAGCCATCCACAGTGAAGCTTTCTCCTGTAGTAGATGGGAACTAACACAGGAACCCACAACTGGAAAATATGCAGAGTGAGAGACTTTCAAACAGTAATAAATGGAATGTCTTCATCAACACCTTCCTCTCAGTGCCCAGAGAACTATGTGAAAGAGAAAGCAGAAAGACTGTAAGAGCCAGAGGGAATAGATTACACCAAGAAAACAGTGTCTTCCAGACACAACAGGACTGACACACAAGAACTCACAGAGACTGAGGCAGTATGCACAAGACCTGTATAGGTTCAGTCCAGATGAGGTCCCAGTGCTAAAAGGGGGAAATGGACACAGTCTTTCACCCCTTACCAGAAAGGATATCTCCAATTGACAAATGCTTGCAGAAGAAAATCAGTTTTCTCCAATGGAGTCCCACTGTTTTTTATAAACCACACATAAGGGAAGATTCCATGACCAGCAATAGACAGTCAACACAAAACAAACTCAATGGTATTTTTGTAGGTTGTTTCCCTAATATGGCTTGTTTGGTCACTTTTTTAACCTTACTTTTCGTTTGCTTGTATAGAATGGTTTCCAATTTTGTGTTTTTATGGTGCGTGTGTGTGTCTCTCTCTCTCTCTCTCTCTCTCTCTCTCTCTCTCTCTCTCTCTCTCTCTCTCTCTCTCTCTGTATGTGTATTGTGCTTTTTTTGCTGTGGTTTTTGATCTTGGTTTGCTTGATTTTTTTATTTGCTGGGATGTTTTCTAAAGAGGAAGAAGATATGGATTTGGAGGGGTGAGTAAGTGGAAAGGACCTGGAAGGAGATGGGAAGGGGAAAACATGATCAGAATATATTGTATGAATTTTTAATTTAAAAAATCTAAGACACTACTATTAATTGTTATAGTTCTTCGGCTTTATTATATCTTGAAATCTGAAAAATACAGAACACTGTTTTTCAAGCATCTGAATCATGTTGAACTGTGCATAGTATCTTTATACACTTTGAAGAGTATGAAGTAAGGATTTCTTTATACAAGCAGGAATATAAATTGAGTAATCCTCTAAACCATCTATTTTCAGTAACTAGTACACTTTGTTTTCTAAAGAGATAATGTAAATTCTTGCCCTTGGTGAACATTTCATTACCATTTTCAATTAAAAAAACAATATTATTAGCACCAATTCTTAGTTTATCTTATTTCAAAAGTTATACAATATGATAAGCAATAACAAAATGGTAGTGACTCATGTTTATATTGAAAATTTCAATTATAAATATAAAATTCTAAACGTATCAGACTAGTGTATCTTTCAATAGTGAACATCCTGGATGCCTGAAGATGGTAGAAGACAGAGCATTTCCATATATGGAAACCAGCCTCAGCACTGTTTCTGGCTCTCTAAGGGCTAACCTGAGAAGGACTAGAAAGGGCAAGTGGCACATACACAGTTCACAGAATAAGAGCATCTTGTTGATAGCTCATCATTCCCTTTGTATCAATGTAAGGTACCAGTTTAAATTCAAAATAAAATATTTACTTCTGTGCAATTTTGGTACAGATATAATACCTGCACAAGGAATAAACACATAAAATAAAATACATATTTTAAAAATTTTTGAGTATGAGTATCTTCATATAGACATTTGAACAATGAATTCTTAGCTAAATATCCAAATTTCATGAAAAATATAAAGACTTTAATATAGTAAATATGTGTCTTAAAACTATAGTCAGATTTATTCCAAACTACTATTGAGGTACAATTCTTAGGTAAAACAAATAAATACACCTTAAAACTTGTCTAAAAGCTTGGTAAGAATACTTAGTTGTCCGGACCTCATTAGACATTTCATAAGTTTCATTTTCTCCTTCTGAATCTGAACTATTATCTCGTTCTACGTATGCTATGAAAACCGCTAATAATATTTAGTTGTCTAGAGCTCATTAGACATTTCCCCTTCTGAATCTGAACAAGCATACCGGAAATGTAATACTAGAGAGGACAATATGGCTATTGTTTTTTCTAAAAATGGTAAGAACATGAAAAGTATGCTAGAGTATTATATAGATAAAATATCCAAGAAGGGTAACTATATATTCTCCTTTAATATCTCTTCTGCCAAAAAATTTCACCACTTTAATTATGTAAGTTATTAGTTCCTTGTATTTCCCCTTTAGTTGCTTTAAAAATATGTATTAATATAAACCCAAATCAAAGGTAGCATTTTGTTTCTCACATGAAGCATATTTTTAATCTATAAAATGAAAAATCTAAAGAAGACATATGTATATATTGATACTAATATGTCAAATAACTCAAAGCCGACTTTGACTATAATGTATTTTTTCAATTCTAGTTATAACATATTTTACGTGAACCTTCTCCAAAACAAAAACTAATAAACATAGGAAGTTAGTTGTGCATTAGGAAGGACTTTATGAGAACATTTAAAGTTCTACAATTATTTTATGGGCGACAGTTTACTCCTTTTTGAAGCTTTTGAATATAGCTGCTGAGCTTCAAGGCTACTCCCACCTTCATCCTCATATATTTTATCATTATATCAGTGTTGAGCAACAGCAAGGCTTTCCCATCAATGTCCTAGAGAGAGAAAAGGTTTAAAATGATTAACAACACTGTATATTTGATAAGCAGTTGTTTCTTTGTATATAAGAACATGCAAAACTAAAGCCTTTCATAGTTATAAAGTCCCTGAATATGTATCTCTGTATAAAAACTATGATAAATATAATTTCACAGTAATGTATCATTTAAAAATTTATATCAATTTTAAGAAAAGCAAATTTAACTTAATATTTAAAATTAGCTATATCAAATTCCATAATTTTAAATACTGCGATGAATAAAATACTGTGTACACATAAAAAAGTAAAAAGAATAAGAAAAATGAATTTCATGGCTATTAACTTTCTGGTAGAGTCTAGGAATATATCAACATCAATGCAAACTGTAAATGTGTTCAATAGTATTGTCTTTATTTGAAAGTGAATTACTTGTCTGAAGCCAATTAGACATTAAGACTAAATATTGGTTTTCTTTCTATACTGAAAATGGTGTATAGATACTCTACTACTTGACAGTCAAAAGGCATCTTTACAAAAATTCTTTATTGTTTTAATTTACCATCACCTCATGCTACTAAAGTATATAATTTTTTAAGTTCCAGCATAAAATAGAACTTTATTTAATCAGATATTCTTGTCTAAGAAGACACAGAATCTCTTATGATAGGAAATAAAATTAGAAAGTGAAGGAAGTAGAGCTTATTAAAATTTAGCCCATAACACCAAGTTAAAAGAAAGAACTAAAATGAATACAGATAGGAAACGAGACGTCAAATTATCTCTATTTTCTAGTCATAAGATCCTATACTTAAAAGACCCTAGAAATGCCAGCAGAAAACTCTTAGATCTGATTAAACTTTCAATAGTCACAGAATACAAAACGAGTAGCTTCCCAGATGTGTCAATTCATCCTTCCTTAGGTGATTCCCTGCTCCCAGGAGGTCATCATAAAGATGTCCAACTTAGTGTGGGCATTCAATGGGCATAGCACACTACAGTACAGAACTCCTGGACTCAAGAGATTCTCCTACTCCAGCCTCCCAAGCAGGTGGGAATATAGGTATATTATCGTGGATGTTATGCGAGTAGCCAACCACTTTCATATTGGATTAAAGCCTAGTCCATAAGACAGAATTTAATCTAAAATCTTATGGCTGGAGAGTTCATAGGATCTAGGGGAGAACTTTATTATTATTATTATTATTATTCAAAATGAACATAGCAATAAACTGCCTCCTTAGTTCACATATGTATATGTGTGTGTATATATATATATATATTTATTTATATTTATATATTAGTACATCCCTTGACCCTCAACAGAAAAGTTTTTTTCCAGGACATGGTGATCAATAAAGAGACCCACAAATCATCCACGTGCAGAGATTCCCCCATGCAGCCACCCTATCACCCAAGACTCAGAAATCATCTTGGGAGAGTTGACAAAAAGAGTCTAAGGACCAAAAGTAGTGGAGATATGTGGGGAAAATCTCAAATCAGAATAAAAGCAGCCTGTATTCTCATTTAAAAAAAAAAGCAGTAGCTTTTCTATGTACTGATAAAAAAATCTTGCCAAGGGAGGAATTAAAGGAATTAGAGAAAAACAAAAACAAAAAAAAAAAAACGTATTCACAAATATTTTTAAAGGTACCTGGGAATAAACCAAGCCAAGAAATTAAAAGACCTCTGCAATTAGAATTTTAAGTTACCAAAGAAAAAAACCTAAAAAAAATGCTAGGAAAAGTAGAATTTAACCATGATTAACCATGATATCGCTTTGTAAATTGTCATTAGCATCACAGTTTTCAATAGTCACATAAGGGAAACAGAACTGATCATCTGGAATTAGTTTCTGGATATCATAACAAGAAGGCTACTCTCGTATGCACTGTGGGTAAACTCCTCTTACTTATAGTCCCTAGTATGGGAAGAATTTGTCCTTGCAAGGAAAGAAGTCTATCTAAGACTTGTAACCTTAAACCACCAAACTTGAGGCTATTTAGTGTATTAGAAATTTAGCTACCCATATAAAGAAGAGACAATTAACCTAACATTTAAGCACAGAAGGATGGACAAGACAACCTTTTCACAAACAAAAATTAAATCAGATAATAGGGTTCCCCTACCAGCTCAGTTGGTGACTCAGTATCCAACTGAAAATGCTCAGAGGTCATTCAATGGCATTAGGGTAGCAGGAAAACTGAATTTAAAAATACATTACATGTTCTCTGATGGTGGTGTAGAGTTGGTCTGCCAACGGAGGATCTAAACGGTTCAGAAATGTTACCACGTCATTCACAGACCAGTTTAAAGGCTTTCCAAGGCCTTTCACAACAGCCTTGGTACAACTGGATGACAAACCTGCAGTTAACAATGAGTGGGGGAAACATTTTTAAAAGCCCGATCAGCACCTTGAAAAGAAGAGACGTTAGGTAAAAGTAATGGTCTCACTCCTGGAACCTTCTCTTCAGTACCTAATTAAGGACTTAAGACTCCATCTGTACAATCTCCTGAGAGCCTAACAAAGATGATCTGCGGAGTGCTGCACAGAGTATGTCACTGGACCTCCCCAAAGAGCAGAACAGCTTTACACTAGAAAGTACAAAGCTTCCATGGTCATGAAAACACATGTAGCAATCCAAGGCCTCTTAGGTCATAAGCAAGTACAGGAAAAGGTGCTACTTGAATTAAATTGGGATAAACTGAGCTAACTCAGTACTCTCTTAGTTTAAGGGTTTCAGTGTATTTTTTGAAAATCTTTCTTAAATGTCACTTTCTCTAAATTAATTTATTGTACTAAATCTGGTAGAAATCCCTAAAGTTTACACTTTAAAACTGCTTAATTTTTTGTTATATTAATTAATTTCAATAACCTTAGTTATCTTAGGGTAACAAGATAAGTTCTTTGAAGCAAATCTGTCTCTTAAATCCAATATCACAATTTTTATATTCACATCTCTTATAGTTTAAATGTAAATTTGAATTTAAAAATATTTTCTGATGAGTTCAATCAGTAGTGATTTTGACATTTTATGCAATTATTCTTTCATGTTTAATTGAATAGCAATAAATATTTTGATTGAATATTTTAATAAAGAAATGATCCATGAAACAATGTAAGTGCTCATATCTCAGCAGGTTTTGCTGAACTATTCACTAAGTGGTATGGAAACTTCTCTGTGCCCAAATATTACCTTCAGCAGAATGTTTGACTTCCTACAAGTGATATATGATGACAAATGAAGGGGGCTTAGTCATTTGTTGGGAGGATCTTTTTTCTAACCAAAGAGAATCAACAGAAATTTCATTTTTTCTGTTTATGAATTATCCAAAAGTATGTCCTTTCTTTCTTAGCACCTTATTATCATGTTGGGCATTTACTATGGGAAAGATAAAGAAAATAGATTTTATAATCACAATGGTGTCATTATGAAGACCACCAGAGACAATCCATGTTAGTTAATTAGCTCACTGCCTTACCCATAATACTTACTCAATAAATGCCCACCGTTGTACATATAATTACAAAACAATCATCAAAATAGGAAACAAGAAGGATGTTAATCATTGGTGCCATTCCAAACTCACCAAAAGTATTAGGATCAATCACAGGTGTACTCTGGGCCTCCAGTAAGGCCAATCGCTTCATTTCAGGATTCCTGATGGGGATGAGCTCCTCTCGAGGGAGGTTGCTTCCTCTCAATATTGTTGAAGCAGAAGAAATGGTGGTGTGCAAGTTGGGATTTTCAAAGTCACTGCAGTGGGTCATTGTAGAAGAGCCAGGAATTCCTTGAAAACTGCAATGGTAGTTTTGGGGAGTATATCTAGGACTCAGTGGACTTTCTGGAAGGTTACTCTCTGATGAAGAACTGATAGGTCTCACTCCCAGGGAATCATCTGAATGGAACACAGCATCGTTCTCAGTGTTCTGGATACTTTCGGTGTTGTCCATAGAATCAGCATCCTGGTATGTCTGGGCATTGTCAATAGAATCAGGGTTCTGGAATGTCTGGGCATTGTCAACATAGTCAGGGGTCTGGAACATCTGGGCGTCGTCAATAATATCAGGGCACTGGTATGTCTGGGTGTAATCTATAGTCTCTTCGTTCTCTACATCAAAGCTCGCTTCATCCCTTGTGCGGACTGGTGAAGTTGGACTGTAACTATGAGGATAGGAGAAGCTTTCATCATGAACTACTTGGCTCTCTTTCTGGAGTTTAGGTCTTTTAGATCTCAGGTAATTGTATCTTCTAGATACTAATTTAAAAGGCTTCATAAGAATAAGAGAAATAAAGAATAGTCAGGACATTATGGTTTCCATGCAACATTATTTTACATTGGAAAATGGTGTTGTCTTTTGATCACATGATTTTTCTTTCTCTTCTGACCTACATTTAATCTAATGTATATTTTATAAGTACTTTTTAAAATGTCTATTTAAAAATGTATTTTAAATATATTTTTTTAAGATGCTCATTGCTCTATATTCATTAATCCTGAACTAGATTATTCTTTCAAAAAGAGTTGCAGTCCTCATCTGCTCCTCCAGGAAGTACAGATAAACCTTGATAAGCCCACATTTACTAACTCTCTATCATTTGAACTGACTGGCATCTTTAGACAGAATATATTTATTAAAGTTGTGATAATGTTTTTGTACACTTACAGGATAATGCCAAAAGGATCTGGCACGAGAGTAATAAATTTTCGTTACTTTGTTATCCATGTTATCAATCTTCTTTTCCAGCCTTTGAATAGTTTGAGAGATAACCTGTTATAATAAAAGGCATTAGTAGTTGCTGTTTCAAAATGCATAAAGCAAAGAGCTAATTGTTAGACACAATGGAAGTTCTCCAGTAGTCAGAAACATCATGTTTTTATTAGAGGCCTGGTTTTAGGGGCCAAAGGACACTGGCTGAGATACTGTCTCCTCCACCTGCCACTGCAGTAGCTGATTCATGCACATGTGGAAGTTTCTTCAGTGCCAGAAAGTGAGTGCATCACAACTCCTGATAACCTCCCACCTGTGTGTACTGCAGCGCTTCCCACTGAAGAGGCCGCTCACATAGGAGACAAGCATTCAAATCTGGTGACCATAAGAGTCAGCGTCCACACCACAGCTTGTAAACAAATAGTGAGTGTTCCACTCTGAGAAGACTATAGAGCCAAATAAAACATAGGTGATGTAGGGCTCCAAAGTATTCTAAAAATTAAGCATCCAGTGTTGATCTCACAATGGCACTGAGTACACCTTATATGCCATACCAATGAGGAACACCACTGATAACATGCTGACGGGTTTTTTTGAAGCGCTCAAAAGTTTCAGAGAATATATTTATAAAATACCATAAACATTTTTTTCATTCAAGGATGAATGCCTTCCTCCTGTCAGAACTTCTTTGCTAGGTGCTGGTATCATAAATTTTAACACAAGCAAACAAACAACAACAAAAACTAAAAAAAAAAAAAACTGTCCTGGAGAAATGCTCTTTGAGAGAACTGAAAGCAAAGTGAGTGATTCTCAAAATGTGTTCTGGGAGCCCAGTCCCAATGAATACACGTATAAAAGAACTCCTGTGCCTAATGCTCAGGGAACATTGTGGAAAATGAGGCAGAAAGATTGTAAGAGCCAGAGGATCAGGGGTTTACTGTGATACCATGCCTCCTAGTGATGCCAGATGTTATGGTGTAGACCCATAACATCTCACCAACATCACCTGAACAAGAAGGATACCAATAAACATGCCAAAGTGGACAGGGGAAGCCCACAAGGCCTCAGCTCTGCACAAAGAAATATAGGAAACTAAGAAATACCAAGAGTGAGAGCAATAGTCTTCCCCAGGGAAGAAGACAACAAATGTTTGTCCAGTGCCAAATGGTCAGCATTGAAAACATGCATACAAATAACACTGTACAGGCTGAGCAGGGTGTATTTAGGAATACACACACATACATATATGTATATACGTATATATAAACATGTGCATGCAATAGCAATTGATGAAAAAGGTCATGAATTTGAAAGAGAGCAAGGAGAGGTCTATGGGAGGGTTTGAAGGTAGGGAAGGGAAGGGGGAAATGTTTTAATTATATTAAAATCCCAAAAAAGAGAGTGAAAACAATACGCTTTCACCAAATATTAAAAGACTCCTTTGCTTCTATGTTTTTATTTTTTGAGACAGGGTTTCACTGTGGAGCCTTGGCTGGCCTTAAACTAGCTATATAGATCAGGTTGGCCTTGAACTTGTGGCAATCCTCCTGCCTCTGAGATTGCATATTGTTGTTGTTATCATCTCCTACACGTGTAAGGAGTGCATGCATATCAGCATACTCAGCAATGTGACAGGATTCTCAAGGACCCCTAAGGAACACAGCTGGGATCCAAAGCACTGCTCATCCACAATGCCATCCCTTGCACAATTACTGGTCTCTTGGCTGAACACTACACCCTAGGCTTCAGGTTTGCCAAGATTTGGGCACTGCAGGTCAGGCAGCCTTACCCACCCACCCCTACTCCTGCACAATCTTAAGACCAAGGCCTGTGAGCATGGCTTCTGTCTTCACTAGTGTCAGTCTAAAAGGTAAGACACACATAAACTTTTACTTTTCAAATTATCTTAGTTCAGTCTATTCTGTAAACCTCATGGGACAAGAATCATTTATTTAAACTGTTCCATTGCCTCTGAGGTATACAGCTCACAAAATCCACAGTAATTAGTTATTTCTATCAGTCCCTATCCACGAGTTTATTTTTATGATTTCCCCTCAAAATTATATGAGATAAATTAATTGTAAAACATGAGTAGGCTGCCCTTTCATTTCAGTTGTGATATTAGGTAATTAATTAGGCACATATTAAAAGTGAATCCAAATCTTCCATTTCCTTTAAAAGTTGTATAGTGGAAATTAATACTAAGCAACATAGATGGAAAAAAATAAACCTGATAAATGATGTTTTTAATGTTCTAAAATACACATACTGATATTTCAAATTTTCACCTGAAAATATTATTCTACATAGAAACTGTCAAAATAATCACAACGATGTGAATAATCACAAGAAATTTGATACGGCAAAATTTTGATTAATTATACACTTTCCCCTCATGTAAAGTAAGAAATGTTTACAATTTAACATTCTACAAAAACATACTGAAAAGAGAAGTTGTCGTACCTGGAAATGGTTCATGGTATCCACAATGGCTTTTGTTTCTTCAATTTCGCGAATTTCAGGTGTCTGAGGTTTTTTCTAAAATAGTTTTTATACCACAAGTAGTTAATGCATTATTTCAGAAGGAGTCACATCAAATAGTGACCATACCTTATATTTATCTATATAAGTTGTTTTTAATTTTTACCAATATTTCAAAAGCCTTAATTAAATCAGAGATGAAATAAAAATTAACACTACAAGGAATGGAAATAATTGCCAGCCAAGTAAAAGAGAAATGAAAGACTTTACCAGAAGGATCTAGGTTTAGAACTCCAGTAAAAAGTTGCTCAGAATGTCCTAACACGTAAGAAAAGGGAGCATGCAAAATGGCTAAGATTTCACCGTCTAAAGAGATTCAGGATAGAGTATGTCCTTGAGTGTCAGTTTAGAGAAACTCCAGAAAGTAGTTGAGATTTAAACTTTTCTTATTAAAATGGTAAACACTGATATACTGTACAACCAGTTGCTTAATATTACTTACATAACTGAAATGTGTAATCTTTGGTACATACTCATAAAACATATTATCATTACCATCTTAAGGAGGCATTCATATTTGTATAGGATAAAAAATTTCTTAGCAAATTAAAAGAAAATATAAAATAACAAAAAGAAAGCTGAGGACTTTAATTTCACTTCACAGAAGTTTTGAAAACCTGTTGTGTTATCAAAGGACCTATGTTTTAAATACCATACCTATGTAGAAAAACATGTGTGACTAAGGCAAGTGAGTGATGAGTTCAAGAGCAGCCTGGGTGGGTCAAGGACCTTGTTTCAGGAAATCAAGAGAAAAAGAATACTTGCAGAACTATGCTCTCATTAATCTAGCTACACCAGAGCCCCCTTTTCCATTGAGTCTAACACCTTCTTACTTTAGGGCAGAGACATTAATCTTTAGTGTTAAAAATGCTTTCAAAGCCAAACAAACAAACAAACAAAACAAAACAAAACCAACAATCACAACACAAACTGACCATGGTCAGAGCATTGCCCTGGTTTTGATTCCTAAATAATCCAACATTGCCACCATGTGGTCAAACTAGGAAACACATCTTAACTAAATTAATTTCTAAAACACCTTAAAATGCTGTTGAAGTAAGACAGGGTATAAATAAGAAAAGTTACCATAAATAACTGCTACATTTCCACAAAATAATCATTCTAAGAAATGAGGCAAAGAGATTTTAAAGTAAACAGACTTGGTAGCTCTGTATGTGGTTAGCCTTCCACTGATTAGGTTACTAAATTAACACACACTTGCGTTATATAACATTCCTTACAAAAATATAGTAGTTTACCTTCACATGGTAGCTTGTGCTTTCAAGTAAATAGTCCCCACAATGACTTTCAATAATTGACAGTGAGCATTGTCTCCAATGATGAAAAGCATAGCAGTTGATGTAAGTTGAAAGCTGCCTAGATTACTTCAATGGCATTAATATGCGTGTCCTTATGTGACTAAAGAAATGTGTTCACTGCTACGCAAGATTAAATATAGTGTAATATTTCCATTTAGGGAGGGGGAGAGAAATGGGAGGAGGTGGAAATTTTTAATTAAAAATAAATAAAAAAATAATTTCCATTTGTGTTCAACTTCAAAGATTAAGAAACTCAGAATATGACAAAATTTTTAAAAGGCAAACCAATTTGCAAAGATGTTTGTCAGATTCTTATAAAGTTGAGTTTTATATAGACTCTACTTGTTTTCAGTTCAATTTCAGAGTATCCAGAAGAAATGTTAAGTGTATGTTCTTAAATTTATACACAAGTGGTCATAGAAATTTTATAGAGCATTTTCAAAACTGCACTTATTACCTAATACATTTCACTTTATTTAATTTAACTCAGTTTAGCAAAACTACAGCACCAGGAATAGAACAGAGACGATCAATTTAAAATACAAACCGCAGCCATTTCTTTGGAGGCAGACATCACTGCTGTGTGGCAGGTTAGACTTGCTGGAAGGTTTACTTGTGAAACTGTTTAGTCATCTAAGAGGCAAACCTTCTACTCCTGAAAAGAAATGCATAAAAATGCTACTTCATGTACCTACTATCTACATCAACTTAACATGGGTGGCTTTACAGGGCTGAGGGTGAAACCTAGGATATTATCTATGGTAGGTTAGTGCCTTATTGCTAAGCTACATTTCCAGCACTAGAATAAATCTTTATACATAGAAGAGCAATGACTGGGAACACACAATGAATAAAGTTTAAAGAAAGTGCAATCTGTGAACAGTTGCTTCCAAACTACAAAATGAGCACTAAAAGCCACCAAACAAGAGAATATACTGCTATCACTTATGCCAAGGAGCTCAAAGGGGTTTTTGCTTAGGGAGACAGAATGCCGCCATACTGCCCCAATAATCTGTTCTGATCTAAAGGCAGCTTCCACTGCCACCCTTGACGCCAATGCTACGGCCACTACTGTCTGGCCACTACTATCTCCACTGCTATCTTAGACGCTGCTGCTGCTGCTGCTGTCACTTCAAGTCTCCATCTCTGGTGTCTCTATTAGTGATGCTGGTGGTGGTGCTGCTGCTGCTGATACTGAACCTGCTCCTGGTGGTGATGCTTCTGCTTCTGGGCTGCTTCTGAACTGCTCCTTCTGTTGGGCTGCTGCTGCAATGTGAGTAGAGTCAACCAAGGAGGCTCCACCTCCTCACCTGCCCTGTAAACCCTTCTGAGGCTCGCATTTCCAGGGCCCACCGCAGCTCCAAAATTATGACTGCTTTATGAGTTAGACTTTAACATTAAACCCAAATAAAGAAATGCATGTGAAATATAAGATGAAAATAAATTCTAGAATTTTTAAGGCTGGATTATAGCCCTGAGTCATTCAATATGGAACCAGAACCAGGCATGTGTCTGCAATCAGAGGACCGACTTGAATTCCTGATGCAAAGTTACTAGAGGGACACCCTAGAGCAAAAGTTAATTCATTTTGTTCACTCTGAGACAGAGCAGCAGGGAAAGACATAATAAAGGGACCAGGGTTTCATCCCTTTCCTGTTCTCCTTTAATCTGCTGTGGGGAGACTAGTGACCAGAGTCCCTAAGGACAAAATTAAAAGGGAGATTAAAAGATGAGAGAGCTAACTCTCAAGTTAGACAAATGCAAACCAATGTTGCATAAAATTTTCAAATTGTAATATGAAACATGATTAATAAAACCCCAGAGACAGATATTGTGGTTCAACCTGAAGATCAGAAAAGCCAAACAGCCAGCCACTGTCTCTTACTTCTACCTCAGTTTGAAATGGCCACCCTGCCTCCAGGAATCTCAGAATGAGACTGTGTCTGAGAGCTGTCTCCTCCCATCTTATATTCCTTTCTAGGGTTGGGATTAAAGGCATGCACCACTACCACCCAGTTTCTATGGGTGTGGCTACTGGTTTTAAAGGCCTGTGTGTCACCACTTCCTGGTCTGTAAGGCTGACCAGTGTGGCTGTTTTACTCTCTGACCTTCAGGCAAGCTTTATTTATTATTAAAATACAAATGAAATATCACTATAGTAATGCATCTCAATTTGACCTATAATTTCTACTACATTTTATTTTTGTTTAGGATTTCCTGACTCTAAGGTTGTCATGAGCTGTAAGTAATTAACCTGTATCTATAACCAAACAAAGAAAACTTTATAATGAAAATAAACTACTTACGGATGTTGCCAACAAGGATGAACTTCACAACCACAACCTTGAGTAAAAGAAGCCAGACATGAAAGATAACACGGTATACAATTCAACTCAGAAAGCTCAAAATCAGGCAGAGGTAGCCTATGGTAGGAGAGGCCTTTCCAAGCTAATACTATGGTCACTTTAACAATTTCTTAGTGTTCTATTTTTGGAATAAACCATAAAATTACTTCTCAAGTTTTACTCTTACAATGAACGTTGTAGAACAGTGTTGCACTGGTACAAGTACTTCTAGAAGAAAAATTCCTAGAAAACAAAATAATAAAGTAAAAAGTTTAAAAAAAGACTGACACATTTGAAAATCCTTTAGTACTTTCTAAATAGCCCAATTAAAGATGACTATTGGAGTCAGCCAGTTGTTTGAAAACATAATACAAGTATCAGATAGTATCAAATTATTTTTACCCTATGACTTCTTAAAAACTCACAAGGTAAATCAAAGCATCAGGATAACTCCAATTCAAATTATAAAACCCTAAACAGCCCAAATTAGGAGAGTCATCTGCCAACGACTCATCCCATAAGGCATAGCTCACAATGTCTAACAAACATGGCTCAAAACAACCTTTTACATGACAATTCATAAAGACACAAAAGCCAAATCAAAGCAGCCAGAAATTTCTAAGAAAGGAAACTCCAAATAATGCCAAATTGGAAGAGTGATCTGTATGAACATATCTCATTAAGTATAGTTGCCAATAATTAGGATGGCTAAAGTCTACCTTTTACCCAAGACTTCTTAAAGGACAGCAATTCACAATAGCAAGATCTTCCTAAGAAAAACAAAAACAAACAAAAAAAAAAAACAACAAAAAACCCCAAAAGTCAAAATCCACACCATCACCTGTAATCAACTTATCCCATAAGGCAGAGCTCACAGAGAAAAGGATGCTTAAAAAATAATTTTTTACCATAAAATTTCTTAAGAACCCACAAGGCAAATACATAAATTTCAAGTTTCAAAAATCTGAAAATAAACACCAAATTGGGGGTGGGTGGGAGAGTCAAAGGCCACCAGTTGATCCCATAAGACATAAATCACAGTGGGTAGTTTGGCTTAAAACCATGTTCTACTCAATGACTTCTTAAAGATACATGAAGCAAACCAAAACAGGTAGATATCTCCAAGTTATAAAAGACCCAAACAAATTAAACTGCAGAGTCACCTGCCATCAACTTATCCCATAAGGCATAGCTAACAATTATTAAGATGACTAAAAAGTACATTTTCTCCAAATAATTCTTTAAAACACAAAAGGCAAATCAAGGCAGTGAGATTTTTCTAAGTTATAAACCCCACATAACTAAATTGAGGAGTCACTGGCCATCAATTTATTCCATATGGAATACATCACAAATACTTGGATGGAGGAAAACAAACTTTTACTCTAAGACTTCTTTATTAAAAACACAAAATGCAATTTACAACATCTAGGGTCTTTCAATGTTATACTAAAACAGCCCAATTTTGGAAAACTATATCCCATCAATGTATCCCATTAAATATAGGTCACACTGACTGAAGGGCTGAAATCAACCTTCAACTCTTCCTTAACAACATACATGGCAAATTACAACAGTAACCTGAATTCGGAAAGAATCAGGAGAGAAGAAATCCAAATGATTCCTAACAGATTAGAGCCTTTAAAACAAAACAAAAACTAATAAATAATAACAACAACAACAACAACCAAAGGAGCACACAGCACTCAGAAGCATATCCGGAAACTACTGGGCCTTACAGGGACGCAGACATTTTACAGTTGTTCCGGGATGCCATGTCTGCCCGCTGGATGCTTAAGCTAATGATAAACACAACACTCTAGAAGGTGCCCTCAACACCCCGCTACATCTTTTTCTTCTTTCCTACTATCATATTTACTATAAAATGGTAAGGTTTTACAAGGCCACTAACAGATCCCAAGCATTGGTAGCCCGGAGACATAAAAATTACTGAAAAAAAAATCATCCAACCATAGAGCGTTCATCATCTGAGGCCTCAAAGTACAGATTCGCCAAACGTATTCTCTCACTCCGACGGCAAAATACTTCCGATTTTCCACATTAGTACACACACTCTCTCTCACACACACACCCATGACAACAAAGGTTAAAGAGGGGGCTAAGATACCCATAACTTACTTATTTTGATGGCACACCAGTCTCCGGAAAGCTGCCGGCAGGCCGCTGAGGAAAACTCTCGACGTCCGCCGGCTGGGAAACCACCTTCGAGGTCCGTTGACGCCTTTTAACCGTCCGCGTGCCGGAAACCAGGTGCGTGTGACGCACTGCGTGTCGCAAAGCTCAGCACGGCAAAGTGCCTGACTGTAAAGCGATGTGCGTTCACGGCTTGTATGACTGAACAATGGCCCGTGAATCCCATGAGTGACCAAAAGGATGTATAGACCCAGAGATTTTTCACCCTGCAGACGGAGATAGGGCATGGAAAGGGAAGGTTTCCAGTGGAGAGGGTCTTGAGGGTCTTTCTGCCAACTGAGAGGCAAGACCTCTGGCTTCGAGGGTCCGAAGCTGGACCTCTGATCCTACACTTAACTGTAACTGAGACAATTGGCGGACAAGGAGCCTCTAGAGCGCTGTGGCAGACATTTGTGTGTGTGTGTGTGTGTGTGTGTGTGTGTGTGTGTGTGTGTGTGTGTACACTGGGGCCTGGGCTAGCTAGTACAACTTCTAGCCCCAAAAGTGATTCAAAGGGCCAGCTTCCTAAGTGTGTGGCAAGCATTTTCGTTTGGTTATTAAAGCATGTTGCTATTAATATACAACCATATACCCTTTTCCACCTCCTGGAATCCACTAGAGATGTCCAAGATGACTGGGCTCCGGGGGTACACAGTGCTAAAACCTGAATGGGGCAGAGGGGCTGGGGTCTTAACAACACATTTTTTTTTTTTTTTTTTTTTTTGTCGCCTGGGAACACTAGTAGCGTCATTTGCAGTCTCCAGTAAGCACAGACTGCAGTAAGAAACTAACATATTCCAGTGTCATAGTTGTTGGATTTAAACATCATGACCAACACTTACTTATTCGTGCAAACGAAATAGTCGTTTTGCGTGTTGTCCAGTATAAAATGGGCTTATGTTGGGAAGTATACACATTAGTGCGCTCAAAGCACACAGTGTTTGAGACAGGAGTTTTGCTATATAATAAAGTTGATGTAACATTAACTAGTGGCAATTTACTATATATATATATAAAATCAGTGCTTTTGGATGTACAAGTATAATAAACTTTGAAACAAAGCAGTCAAGTGTTTCAAAAAAAAGTCACAAACCTTCATCTAGTATAGAAAGGAACCACACAGTAGCTTGAGTATTGAACAAATGTTGTTCCCTATTAAAAATGAAGCTTGATTAGTGTCCATTATAGATAGCATGTCTTCCTGCTAATAAACCCCTTTTATATCTGGGTGCTTATAAAACACTTCCTGCTTGTGAAACCTCCCAACTATAGTTACATAACAATAAAGAGACAACCCAGCTCTTTAATTGCAGTCACGTTTATTTGCAGTCTCTATACACACTTTCTAGGGAATCAAACTGTTCGGATACATTTTTTTGAGAGGGGTTCACAATGAAACTGTCACCGTTTTTCCTACAAATAAATACAAGACTTAAAGTGTTGCACAGCTCTAAAATATACAAAGGCTTGGATTGAATGTAAACGTTGAAAACATTTTACAAAAGAAACCATCTTTGCAACAATTTAAAAAGTTCATATTTACAAATGTTACAAAAATACAAAATGGATGCAAGTCCAAAAACCATTGTCTTTCGGCCAGCACGAACTGGTTCTAGTACCAAAATAGTTACACCATAACCTTCAGAATTCAAGCTTTGTTACCGTCTTATCCTCTCAGCATCCACCACTAAAGAGATTGTACTCACTGGCGAGAGCAAACGGTGTATTTTGTTTGCTACTAGTCCATGTCCTCTACTGAGCCAAAACCAAAACAAGCAAAATCAAACCAGAATCACCAGAAAAGCAAGAAAGTAAAACAGAATTCCCCCACACAACATAACCATGTTGGATAAACAGAGAAGGAAAAATAGCATCAGTGCAAACAACAGAAGAAGTTTCAATTGGTCTTGTTCTTTGTTTTTATTTTTTAAACAATACCTAATGTGTGTACCCTGCTTCAAGCTGACAGTGATGTTAAAGACAGCCCTACGTCTTGGTCTTGTTTAGTATATTATAAAGCTGTGAAGACTAATTTTTAAGGATTTGCTTGCTTTTAAAACTTTCTTATTCAATATTCTTGTCCACAGTGAATCTAAAATCCGTCTTTATTTGGGATTTCTTTAAATCTATGAAATACAAAATAGAGAAACTCTGATATAGATTTTTAGAGTAAACAAAATAAGTAAAACTATATTATAAGGGTGGTTCTGTGATCATCACATCGACGGTACCTTATTGCCTCACTATTCAAGTCAAATATGTATTTTAAAAATATATGATATGGTTACTTAAATTAATGTCAATAATAAAAGGTGACATTTTTATTAAAGCCAATTTATGTTTTTCTATTCAAGATTTAGAATCACTTTTAAAACCCACATACCTTTCTTCACACTAAAAAACCCCCTACCTACACAAAAGCCATACTGCAAACGAACTGCTTTTATGAAAATTACAAATGATCACCTATTGTGACTGAAAACGATGGTTCCTTATCACATTTGTCTAAAAACTTTTATTTTTAAAATTTTGTGGAATGTACTTTCAAAGCATGAGACAGATTTGTTCATGACTCCACATGATGTCAAACCATGCTGGTTGTGTGTGTGTGTGTGTGTGTGTGTGTATGTGTGTGTTGCTTGTTTTTGTTTTTTGTTTTTTAATGAGTTACATGTTCCAATGGTAAATGATGCTCAAATTTCTTTCAATCCCCAACATTTTCTTTTAACAAAATTTTAACACTTTGTATATGTTCAAACCCTTTACCAGGTAGTTTATCTATCCCCAGCACACACTTGCTCTCTCGCTCTTGTTCTCTCTCTCTCTCTCTCGCTCTCGCTCGCTCTCGCTCTCGCTCTCTCTCATTCTCTCTCCCAGTTCTCAGTCTCCTCCTCTACCCCTCCACCCCCAACACCCATTTTACATACAAGAATGACGAGAAATTAACTAACACAGTTTGGTAGTAAAAACAAATAATAGAAGAAGCCAGACATTTCCCCCCAAACAAACAAAACACCGACAACAGATTCTTTAATTCTTAATCTGTAAATATTATAACGAATTTCTATTGAAAGACAGTGTCTTCTTAGACCATACTTTCTCCTTCATTTATCATAGTTAATCCTTTCATACATCTTACTTTCTCAAATACCACTTGCATAAGCATAAAGCCAGCTGCTTCTCACTTGCTTGGTAACCCTGGTGTGTTCTGCCATTGTCTTTCACAGATCATTTCCCTCCTTAGTTCTAATTTCTACTGCTCCCATTCAAAACCTATTCTAAGTACATAGGTGCTTATATTTCTGACATATGATTTCAAACATTAGTATCAGTTCATGTTAAAATCAGAGGTGTGAGAACCACTTGCAGATTTCAACTTGTTACTATACTTTTTTTTTCAGTTTTAAGACAAGAAAATTCAAGTAATTTCAAGTAATTCAGCTTGTTTCCCTGCCTTCATTTTATCAGGGCTCTTGCCCTGACGTTTCTTTTCCCACCCACCACCCTCCCCTTTTGCCATCAAGCAGTTCTAGTAAAATCAGACCAAAAAAAAAAAAAAAACCCGCGGTATGTAGCATTGTGAACCAGAGCTGCTCCCCATGCCCAGGTGAAGAGTGAATATAAATAATGCATATACACATACTCATTTCCCAACGACATTGTTCACAGTGTCACTTCTGTTAAGTTTTAGGTAGCATGAAGCTCATCAGCACAGAGAAAAAGCTTCGCTGAAAACTCATCACAGGGCGGGTGCTTACTGAGAATTCAATAGCTCTGTGGCATGCGTAGGTTCTAGCTCTGTTAGTTTAAGAACCTGGAGCTAATTAAGAAGCTTAATGAGTATAGTCATGAGAGTATGACTGTTTGTCCCCAGTAGCCTTATAGAAAACATGACCTAAAATTAACTACTGGTTTCTCTACTCATTCTTCTTAAAGCAATTCACTGAAAAAAAAAATTAGACTCTAAAGGACACTGTTTAATGCTATTGGGGGGGGGGGTTCTTTGCATTGAGAAGGATGACTTCTCTCATTGGTTAAAAAGATCAAAAGCATGCTTTTCATTCTGTTCAAATTGCCACATGGCAAGACACAGCCACAAACTCAGATTAGCTTGTTTCTGCTACAATTTGTCACAACAATGATTAGGTCTGAATTCGTTATTTTAAGTTAATCACAATTCAGTACATGACCTCAATATTTCCATTATTTCACCAGTTTTAAATTCATATTTGAGGTTTATCACTCAGAAATCATGTTGGTGGACATTTAAACATGGTATTTGATATGAAAATGGTATTCACAGAATACAGGTATTATATTTTGTGTGTGTCCTATAAACAGTTGGTGTGTGGGAGATAATTGGCCACTTGTCCACTCATCATTGATAAATCTATTTACACATTTTTATCAAAAATATGGTATTTACATATGTGTAGTTCTTTCTTCTAAATCTTGCTTTAGTTCATTTTAATGTAAAAAAATACCAAACCTCCAGAGTAATTTCATCTTCTTAAAGTATGACAGTGAGGGCTTTATTTTCACAATAGGCAGCTCTGGGAAAACCTTGTCTAGGTTTCAAGAAAGTTAGATATTTTTGTATTCTTTATTATCACAACGAATGAGATTGGGTAAATCAAACTATGCCAAAGAAAATCACGACAGACGGAACTGCTACTTAAAACATGAAAACTAATAAAAAAGAAATGACTCAATCACTTTCTATTTCTCCAGCACATATGTAGAAGCTCATGGCCAAGCAACGATGCGATTCCCCCATCCTGTTGCTACTTCTCCCAGTTAGTTCCTCTACGGTATCACACAATTCGTTCAACAGTAAGGGGCTGTACATCTGAGGTCTGCTTGGCTCAGGCAGACTATGTGGAACTCTGGGAGGATCGGTCATCATGTGGGCTCCCGTCAGAGTTTTCAGTCTCTCCCTCGGAGATGGCCTGCATTGGCGTACTGTACAGCCTGCAGCGGACACTGTAGCGGCTGCTGCTGGCCACAGGTGGGACCCGGGAACGTCCAATCCGGGATGATGCTGAGGTGGCAAAGGTTTTCGAGGAAAACCCTTCTGCATTGACTCGTGGAGAGCACGGGGACAGAGGGGACAGCGCTTCAGCCCCAGGTGTGCCCTGGTGGGTATCCTCAGGGCTCTGTGGGGACTCTGAAGTGAACTCTCCAGGAGGCTTGGGCAGGATGGGGCTCTTCAGGATTTCGGTGGCAGACATGCGGTAACTAGAATCAG